TAAATAAACCCCCCCCCAGTCTTCGAGGGTGCTGGCAGGAGGGGACCCAACAGCGGTTAAAGCACCCCGTGTGACCCCCGAGGTCCCCGGCAGAGCAGGATGGGGACCCTGGGGACACGCAGCAGCTGCAGAATGAGCCTGAGCCTGCCCGGGCGCTCAGGGCCGGGCTGGCACGGCCATTCCCAGCCCTGGAAAGTGTCCCCTCGGCTCCCAGGTCACCTCCCTGGTGTCACTCACGTTGTACTTCTGGAAGAAGGTGAGGTAGCGAATGACCCCGACCCAGACTAGTAGCGTGGAGGTGCCCAGGAGGATGCTGCAGACGTCGTAGCTGGCGAAGTTCTGCAGGGACAGAGGTGTCACGGGCCCGAGGCACGGCCAGCGCCGTCCCCGAAGTCCCCAACGCCATCCCTGAAGCCCTAACAACCCCCTGCGCTAGCCACAAGCTAGCGGCGAGTGAAATCCCGGTGCCGCAAGCCACGACGCAGCAGCCAGACAGGACTCTGCCTGTCCCTTTGTTGCCATCTCCCTGTCCCAAAGGGAAAAGGGGGGGCTCTGGGGTCCCACTTGGGCCAGGACCCCTCCGTGAACCCCTCAAGGAGCGATGTCTGTCCCCTAACCCGCTGCCAGGGCTCCGATTACATCCAGGACAGCTTCGGCGGGGCAGACGACACGCCGCCAGCACCCCGGAGAGGCCGGTTCCCGGCCAAGCGGGAAGGCTTATCCCTGCCACCCAGAAACGTCCCCTTCCCCGGAGCAAGGGGACACCCGTGCCAGCAGCCCCAGCGCACCCAGGATCTGCCAAACCTCCAGCTTCGTTCCCCGGTGTCCCCCCCGTACCTTGGACTCGATGCCGATTTTCATGATGGTTCCCAGCACGGTGAGGACGTCGCTGATCACCAGGAGGATGTACCAACCGTTGAGGAACTCCATGCGGTCCGACAAGCACACGTGCTGGTCGTAACGGCGCTGGAAGAACCGGCTGAACTCCTGCGTGGGGAGAAAAAAACCAACCAACCAAACAAACGGGGTCCTTTACCCACCGCCTGGAGAGTTTTGCCCGTCTCGCGGCACCCACAGCTTTGACTGAGCATCCCCGCGGGGAAAGGGCCTCCTCTGAAAGCCGGCAGCGCCAAAACAGCGTCCCGGTGGCAGCTCTGTCCGTCCCCACCGGTTACACCGTGGAAGGTAGCTACGGTTAGCGCCGCTTCCCGCTGTCCCACCACTCACGTGCTGCAGCATCAGGCCCCGGATGATGGAGCGAGCACAGAGGATGAAGGAGAGCGAGCAGACGAGGATGACGACGACGTCAAAGAACAGCCGGAAGGAATTGTCACCTGCAAGATGCGCGGCGGCTCTTCTTAACGAGGGGGACAGCCGCCCAGGAGCACCCTGAGGCCCCCCCCTACACACACACAGCCCTGTGGCACCCACTGGGGACAGATGCCACCTTTGTCACGCCCTCGTGGCTCCTACCTCGGCCGAAGACGCTGGGATCTTTGCACTCCTTGATGTCAGCCCGGTTGTCGAGGCGGATTTTCACCCGGCCGCTGTGCGCCTTGTTGTCGAACGTGATCTGGGGAGAAGCGGGGGGACACACGGGACAGTTACCGCCCGTGACACCGTCTGGCAGCTCCTCGCTGCCGGGACGCTGCCCGTACCCGGTTCCCTACGTGCCCACGAGGGCCGCCGTCACCCCCACGCAGCCCGGCCGGCTCACCCCCGAGGTGGGGAGCGGTGCCAACGCACTCACGGTGATGGTGAAGGTGTAGCAGTCGGGGATCTCGTTGTTGATGATGGTTTGGATGTTGATGGCTTTCAGCTTGAACTGGATGGTGACGTTGATGAGTCTGCGGGAAGGGATGTTCGTTAATCCTCTTCCCGGGGCCGGTCCGGGGTGTCTCGGCCCACTTAGACCCCCCCCCAAACCCCCAAAACACGGCGCCGAGAGTCAAACAACCGACAGAGGGGGGGTAAACACCTTCCTTGGGGGTGCGTACAGCCCCCGGAAAGGGTGGCTCCAGCTTTAGAGGAGCAAACAGCTGCCAACATGCCCCAGCGTCGGTGAATTTTGCTTCGAAGGGGAGGTCGGACCCTCCGGAAGAGACGGTGCCACAAGCTACGCCGCATCTCTCGGCGCCAGCAGCACCGGCATCCCTCTACCCGGCACCGGCAAGAAGACGGGCTCTGCCCGCTCCGATAACGTGCCCACAACTGCAGGACTCGGCCACGGGCCATCAAAACGCTGCCGAAAGCCAGCACAGGGTTTCGGGGAAAACAACCCCCAGTGCAAGTGTCGCAAGACAGCCGCGGTGCGTCGGGGCCAGCTCTGCAGCCGATGCCGACGGAGACGGGGCCGGAAAGCAGCTGCTTTGTTGTGCAACCTCACCGGTTTCACATCTCCCTCGGCACAAGGGTCGGGGTTTGTGTTTTTTTTTTTTTTTCTATCCCGCGAGCGGCGTTTTTAAAACCAACTGGGGCTTTTCCATCCTGGCGGCAGGTTTCAGCGCGAGGAAGTCCCCGCGTTGGGGTCCCTGTTCCGCCCTCGCCCGTACCCTGCGCCGACGGGACGTCCCCAGCACCCAAACGCTGGGACACCCCTCATTTTTACTTGTGAAATTTGAGGGTGAAGTTCTTGTAGCTGCGGTCCAGCTCTGGGGGCAGAGGCTGTGGGTCCTCGGGATCCACTCCCAGGCAGTCTGCAGGGAGGGAGAACCGCCTTCAGGGAAGCCCGAGGCCCCACGCAGACGCCTTGGAGCCTCTCAAGCCCAGGACGAGGATCATAAAACCTCCCCGGGACCCAGTGGTGGCTGTGGGACAAGCGACCTCAGCCCCACCCTCCCCAAAACCCACCTGTGACAATCTTGGGGTCAATGTTGAAGGTGTCGTTGGCTGGATCGATGCGCCCTTTACGGTAGTACTGCTGGCACAGCATGAGGGCCGACTGGTTCCCTCCGCTCTCCCCCCGCACGTAGGCGTAGCGGCCGATGGTCTCGTTGGGAACGGCCAAGTACTGGAGAAGGAGATGCCCTCAGCGGTTGTACGTGGCCCCGAGCCACCTCCGCGTCCCCGAGCCGCCTCCCCGTCCCGCTCCGTCCGCGGCTCTCACCTTCTCCACGGCGTAAAACATACGGTCGTAGAGGTCGCGCTGCGTGTAGACGGCGTAGGAGTCGTCCGCCCCGTCCGCGTAGTCCTTCAGGAAGAGGTGTTTGAAGGCGATGGTGTTCTCCTCCTTGAACGTCACCACCATCTGGTTGCTGAGCCCGAAGAGGATGAGCTGAGGGACAAAAAGAGATCACGATTAAATCCCTGCCCCAGCGGTTCCATAAACAACGATGCCACGACCCAAAACGCAGCTGTTTCGCCCCGAAGACGCTCGCAGGAGGCAAAAAAACCATCGCCCTACACTTGGGTGATCCCAAGAAGACAAGGGCCAGCTAGCGCGTCCCCAGGGTTGTCCCCCACGTCCACCTGGTTGCCCCAAAACCTCCTACACCGGCCGATCTCCTGCGGCGAAGCTCCTCTCCCACCGCAGACGGGGGGAGGACGATCGCCTTGGGGACACGCGTGCGTCATCGTGTCCCCCCCTGCCCCCAGTGCCACCAAACACCCCGGGAACGGGACGGCAGAGCGGACCCTGATCTTCCTCCTCTTCGTCAGCGTTTTTTCCCTGCCTGCGCGCTCTATACCCTTCCCTGTGCCGGTAATTAGCTTGCGTTTATTAACACAAGACGGCGTTCGTTAGCGCTGCTCGTCGGCAGGGCGAGGGCACGGGTGGCTCCGGGTGACACCGCTCAA